TAATTTTAGCATTCGATATGAATCAGGATCTGTTGCTGAAGAGAACACTTAAAAACCACCAACAAGCGTTGTTCAAGCCTCAGTTCCGGTGGCTACACGGCCCTTCAGTTGAAGGGTATCTTTTTTCCGCAAAAGTTTGTAAACTGTCTATCCGTTTTCGCATTCTTTGTTTTCTGGAAGGGGATAATGATCTGTAGACCTGTACTTTTTTCCTGGAGGGTAGGTACTCCCTCCTGGGGGAAATAAGCAGAAAAAAATTCCCACAGTTCATTGTTCTACGTATTAAATATAAGATTTGTCAGATACAGCGCCCTCTAGCGGCGGATGCATTTAAAAAATAACGGAACCGACAGCAGGGGTGATAAGCAAATTAATTTAGTCACCTTGATCGCTGTGGAGGATATACAACTTGAATGAATTCTATCTCTATCGTTTTTGCCGTCAATCAAAAAATATATTTGTATTTCAATTTGACCACAGCTGCTGTTTCAGTCAATATATTTCCCAGGTATTATTCGGATCAATATCAGTGATGATATCAGAACGCGTATATTTGTTGACATAGAATACCACCACAAAACATAACAATTTAACCACGTATGTAATATCTAAATTAAGTTCAGTTGTATTACTGAAAAGAAGAAAACAAAACTAGCCTGGGACGGAGTAGAACCAAATAACTAAGTCCAGTATTCTGACCGCTGAACTGAACCAGTTCCGTGATAATAATGGCGGATATGCCCCCGGAGAACATGATATAGCTCACCCGTGCCGGTAATACCTCCTCCATCAGATGTGACCCGTTTTGCCACCAGTATTGTGAGCCATGAACAACGCTGTTTGGTGGTTTCAGTAATAAACGCCTTTTTTGAATGTTGAATTTGACCCCCCCCCCCGCCATTGACGACACATTAACCAGAATTTATCAAATTAGACCAGTTTATATACTGATGTAACACTGGCAGGGAAGAACCAGACCCGGGAACCATATGGGCCAGAATTAATAAAATGGACAAGACCAGCATAGACCCAGCTGTGGCACTGAAAGGGCGAAATCAGATCCGGGAACCATAATACTCAATGTTGTACAAATAAAAATAGTCTAATGAACGAGAGAAAACCAGATAAGGCCAAGATGTTGCACAAAGGGAGAAAACGAGCCAGCCAGACAGCCAGATTGGTTCCAATGGTGATACTGACGGAACAACAAGTTAATATATTCAAAAATAAACATTTGTAATGGAGACGCAACCTTTAATTTGAAATGTAAATCTATATACATTAATTTATTTACTCATCGTATTGATACAGTGTTTGTAAGTTATTTAGACAAACAAACAACACATGACAATTTGATAAAAAAAATGAACAAACAACAAATGTCAAAGAGAAACCAGACTACTACCATAGCTACGGTAGTATTGATTGATTCGGCATGAAATACAGGTATTTCGTCCATAAGTACAGCCCGCGTTATGTACAGTACAAAGAATACGACATAAATTAGCGATTTTATCGCTAACAGTGTAGGGTATAATACATAATGAATTTATCATATTTGCAGAATTATTGCACCTGTTACATTTAAATGTTACAATAACAATTGCACAATTTAAAATATCACTGATATATAAATAGGGCGCCATGTCACGTGCCTGTTATTAATCACTGTTTGATACATTTATACCAGACAGGTCGTTTTGACATTTCACTAGATACCGTTAGTAGTTGTTATCGTGGTACAACTCTCCGTACAGCTGCGGGGATCCCAAACACATTCGTGCTTAATTTCATCTTTGCAATAAATAAAACGATCTGCTAAAAAACATTTTTTTCTGATCGTCAAATTGAAACTGGGCATGCGCAATTACGCGGGAATAGGATCATGTGTTAACTGTGGTAAACTCGGTAAATTTGCTCTTAAATCTTCCGACACCCACATATGCTGGCCTAAAAATCTATTGACAATTATGATTTCATTTTATGGTAGCGATTTCTTTCTCATCTTTTTAGCTTCTTTCGTGATATTTGATTGCATCGTCGTTGGATGTACGCCATCAGTTATGCGACAGAGAACGCGATGTTTCAACTACACTTGCAGTTGGCAAACACATATAACTTATCAAACCCACACAAGCCATGCATTACAATTCGAACAGGTGTGTACCTGTGCGAACACTCGAGTCTCAACCCATATCAATCTGAACACTCGCCCATTTAGTCCATTCAAATCTGAACACATGCCCACCTGAACACACACCTTCCAAATCCATGTCCATCAGAACAAATGTCTACCTGAACACACCTCTATCTCAGCCCATGTCAACCTGAACACTCGCCTATTTAGCCCATTCATATCTGAACACATGTCCACCTGAACACACACATTCCAAATCCATGTTCATCTGAACAAATGTTTACCTGAACACACTTCCATCTCAGCCCATGTCAACCTGAACACTCGCCTATTTTAGCTCATTCAAATCTGAACACATGCCCACCTGAACACACACCTTCCAAATCCATGTTCATCTGAACAAATGTCTACCTGAACACACCTCTATCTCAGTCCATGTCAACCTGAACACTCGCCTATTTTAGCCCATTCATATCTGAACACATGTCCACCTGAACACACACATTCCAAATCCATGTCCATCTAAACAAATGTCTACCTGAACACACCTCTATCTCAGTCCATGTCAACCTGAACACTCGCCTATTTTAGCCCATTCATATCTGAACACATGTCCACCTGAACACACACATTCCAAATCCATGTCCATCTGAACAAATGTCTACCTGAACACACCTCCATCTCAGCCCATGTCAATTTAAACACTCGCCTATTTTAGCCCATTCAACACATTTCCACCTGAACACACACCTATTCCAATCCATAAATATATACCCAGATAGACATCTGAAGACACATCATTTCAACTCAAGTAAATCTGAACACGTCCAAATGAACTCCCACCACTCAATCTATGTGAATCTGAACACCGACATGTATAACTCAACACGTGTCCACCTGAAGACACACCCATCTCAACCCATGTCAGTCTGAACATAATTCATTCCAAACACGTGCCCCCTGAACACACACCCGTCTCAGCCAATGTGAATATGAATACATCTAAGCACATGCCTACATTGCCAGTGAGGCAAATAACGTGACTTGGTAAAAAGATTAGACGCATATTTGTGTGAACCTGGCCACCATCTACCCTCATCTTAACACTCGCGCTAAACACACGGGAAATCCACGCCAACTCTAATGGAAATAGTGCACATTGTTCTCACGTTTCCCATGACTAAAAGGGCCCAGTCCGATTATCGAGAAAATAATATTTCGTCCAGTTTTCTCCGTGACATGATACAATGTGTGATTGTTACATTATTACTCAGAATAAATTGACAACACTGGACACATATGTTGTAAATTAACGGGATCATATGCTAAGAACAAAACAGTGTTATAATTTTAGTTAGTCCCATGTGTTATATAACTCTATCTAAATTACAATGTTAAAAGGCAATGTGGATAACTTTGAGTGGTTTTAAGATGTTTAAATAATTGTGTTTGATATCATCTTGATAGAAACTTTAAGGTATGATTTATCTTAAAACAGAGATAAACATTGGCTGTAAACCTAGCAGTATTAGTTCGATAAAATGCTGATAAGAGGAACATGTAAGCAAATTTGAAAAGTTTACACGCGAGAGTCGTCTAGTATTTCATCAAATCAATCCCATAATGTTTTTATCAAAGATACAAAATGGGAAACAATTACCTTGAA